CGCCTGGGGTGCCGCCACAATGACAGGGTGAGCGATCACAATTACATTGTTCCCTGGGGTCGATCGGTGGTAGTGGTACCGTTGACGAGCTCGGCAAAGATGACGCCGCACGACCACATGTCAATGGCCGTCGTGTATTCCTTCACGCCCAGGAGCAGCTCCATGGACCGGTATCGCAGCGTGACCACGGTGGGAGTGTAGAGCATGCCGTTTTCACCGTTCATCTGCGCCCACTCGTCCTGTGAAAACACACGCGCGCGCGCGACACACACACGACACACACACACACACACACAGCCGCCATTTGGTGTTAGGAACACGCCGGACCTCGCTCGGAGTGGGTTTGTGTTAGTTGTGTAAGTACCTTGTTCTTCTTCTTGTCGTTGTTGTCGCTCATATAGTACTCTCGTGAAAGGCCAAAATCGGTGAGGCGGAGTATGCCATCGTTGCCGAGCAGCAAGTTGTTCGTCTTGATGTCCCTGCGAGGTGTACGCAGCCCCCCGAAGCGAACTCAGTCAGCAACGCGTGCTCCAAAGACAGCCGGCTTGTGTGTGTGTGTGTGTGGTGTGTGTGTGTGTTGTATGTCGCATGTGTGCGGTGGTATACCGGTGGATGATGCCCAGGGCGTGCATGTGGGCGACGGACGACAGCAGCTGGTAGAGCAGCGACTTGATCTCGGTCATCGCGAAGACCTCCTTGCGCTCCCGCATCTCCTTGAGCAGTCGCCCGAGGTCGTGGTCGATGAAGTCCATCACCAGGTAGATCTCCTTGCCCTTGCCCCGTCGTAGCAGCAGCCTGTTGCGCTCGTCCGCCTCCTTCTCCTTCTCCTTGTCGCCGCTGCCTCGGCCGCTGCTCTGCGAATCGTCCTTGAGCCGCTTGCTCCCGCCGTCCTTGACGTCCTCCCAGTCGTCGGTCTCTTCAAAAATGATGTCCCGGATGCTGATGATATTTACATTCCCCTGCAGCAGCACGCCGATCTTGATCTCGCGCAGCACCGACAGGGGAACTCCCTCCTCGTGCTCCTCCTTCCGCCGCTTCATCTTCTTGAGCGCCACCACCTGGCCCGAGTCCTGCGTGATATGCCCCCGCGTGACACGTCAGCCACGCCGGCCATGGCCGCGTACATGGTTTAGGCTAAGCGGTAACAAAAAAAAAACAAAAAAACAAGAACAACAAAATACGCAGCAAGGCGCGCTGCGGGGGCGGGGGCTCAAGTACCTTGTCCCTGGCTCGGTAGACGACGCCGAAGGCGCCCTCTTCGAGCTTGCCCAGTTTTTCAAAGCGCGAGAGGTCTCGCTCGCACTTGAAGTTCTCCACGGGCGCGGGGGCAGCAGGGGCGGGGGGCGGCTCTTCGGGCACCTTTCGCTTGGTACCGCGGCGTTCGCCTTGTTCGGCGGGCTCGGGCTCGGAGGGGGGAGGGGGCGGGGGCGGCATGTGGCTGGAGGGGGGCGGAGGGGGCGGGGGCGACCTCGAGGCCTCGAAGGGCAATGGAGGGGGCGGGGGCGGGGGCTGGTGGTAGTGGTGATGGGACGCGTAGGGGCTCGAAGGCGGCATCGCGCGTGGGCTCGTAGCAGTTGTTGAAGTAGTCCCGTGGGCGTAGGGCGAACCCGCGACCAACCGACCTGCGCGAATAGAATAGGCGGAGAAAAAGAAGAGAACGCGAGTAGAAGGGGTCAGCCAGGGATGAAGAAGAAGTTGAAGGAGAGGGGAAACCGAAAAAGACTGAGAAGTGAATAGCAGAGAATAGAGAGCTAAACGAAGACACGTTGGGCCAGACGGGCCGAGACGAGAGGGGAAACGAACAAGTCGTATACTAATCAACAAAGATGTGAAACGTTTACGCAACACAAAGATGCAAAACGAGTACGCGGGCTAAGAACGAGTAGAAGCTTTCGCGACGCGCAGCAGCAAAGAGGACCGGACGAAGACTGAACAACGACAAAGGAACAAGAAGAGGGTGTACGCCGTATGATATACTGTACCTCTATCCATGGTCGTATCGGGTGCGGAGCCTGTGGACGTAGTCGTAGATGGTGGTAGAGGAGTACTGCTAGTGCCGGCGTAGGAGCGGGGATAGGCAGGAAGATGAGGAGAAGAAGAAGATGAGCCGAGAGGAGGAGCCAGGCCAGCGCGCATAGATGGCGGAACGACGACGGTCGAGGACAGGTAGCCTTGCCGCCAAGCCGGAGCCGAGCCGGGCGAGACCGCGGATGACGTAGAGGTAGAGGAGGGCGTGGACGTGGAGGCGGAAGAGGAGGAAGAAGAGGGGTACGAGGGTGCCGTCCCCTGCACATAGGCCCTGTAGTACACACGAACGAAAGGAACGAACAACATGAAGCGCGCCACAAGTCAGCAACTAACGCGTCAGCCAAGCCAAGTAAAGAAAGCAGAACTAGTCATGCTTGGCCCTGAGTAGTAGAGGTAGAAGAAGCTCGAGAG